ATTCCATGCTCTTTGGTTTTCCACAAAGAGTTAGGCGAGAGTTAATAACTCATGATCTGGCTGATTAGTGATCGCCAATACGGTTTTCGCGGTGGTCGGTCAGCTGGTGATCTTCTGGTCTACCTAACTCACAGATGGGTGGAGGCATTGGCCGTTAGTTTGGACATTGCGAAGGCCTTCGATCGGGTTTGGCACAAAACGCTTCTTTAGAAGCTCCCTTCCTATGGGCTTCCCGAGAAATTGTGCGATTGGATCACCAGCTTTCTTGCAGATCGGAATATTAAGGTCGTTGTAGACGGTGCAAGCTCCGATTACAAGCCTATTAATGCTGATGTTCCACAAGGCTGCGTGCTATCGCCAACGCTGTTTCTTCTGCATATTAATGATATGTTGCAAACCCGTAACATTAATTGCTATGCAGATGACAGTACTGGTGATGCTCTTTACACCGGCCGTGCCAATATTCTCGGGAAAAGTTCGGGGGACTTTCTGATAAAGTCTTTGCTGAACAGAGTCTCGGATTGGGAGCGACTAAATCCAGTAGTTTAACCCCCAGAAGACACAAGTTTGCGCATTAACCGCCAAAAAGAACCCCTTTGTCATATCTCCTCAGTTTCAAGGCACTCCCCTTGTTGCCTCAGCCAGTATCGGAATCCTCGGCGTCGACATATCGAGTGACGTGCAGTTTCGTGGTCACTTGGAAGAGAAGGCCAAATTGGCCTCTAAAAAGCTTGACGTGCTCAGCAGAGCGGGACAGTATTTCATGCCGGCACACCGCCTGCAACTTTATAAGGCGCAGGTTCGGCCGCACATGGAATACTGTTCCCATCTCTGGACTGGGGCTCCCCAGTACCAGCTCCTTCCACTTGACCGCATCCAGCGCAGAGCGTAGTCGACGACCGAGTGCTTTCCGATCGGCTCGATTCACTGGCGCTGCGAAGAGATGTTGCATCTCTTTGCATTTTCTTTCGCATATACCATGGGGAGTGCTCTGAGGAATTGTTCGGATTAATCCCAGTCGTCAAATTTCGTGAACGTAATACGCGGCAAACGTCCCGATACCATTAACACCATCTGGATGCTTGGCGGTCCACCGCTGTACGTTTCAAAAGGAGTTTTCTTCCGCGTACAACCTCTCTGTGGAATAGTTTACCACCGGCGATTTTTCGGGACCGATACGTCCTGAGGACCTTCAAGAAAAGAGCTTACTCCTTTCTAAAGGGCCGGCAACGCACCTGCAATTCCCCTGGTGTTGCGGTTGATCATGGGCGGCGGTAGTCACTTAACATCAGGTGAGCCGCCTGCTCGTTTGCCCCCTCTTCTATATATAAAAAAAACTCATACAGGAATGTAAAATATCAATAAAATCAAAGATTTAAGTTGTACAATTTTTTACCCGTGTAGTGGCGGTGTGAGAATATCCACTATACCATAGCATCCCATAAAACCAAACAAACCAGGAGATGGATAGCAGCGTTTTCCTAATAAATACAAATTAAAAACTGAGGCTGCGAACTCGCTTGCCAAGCGTGGCAACAATGGCAAATATCCCCCTATGACGCTATCTATAGAAAAGACCTATGTTCATCTTCATATTTCTGAGAGGGTTTGCTTTTTGGAATGGGCAGAATTTATCGCATTACTAATAATCAATTTTTCACTATGGTTTCAGATTTTTTTTACAAATCGTCTAGCTCATTTTATAAGAAACTCCCCTGTGAGGAAATATATGAAGGAGGCCTATGTTTAGCAGTAGACTGTAATAGGCTGTAATGGAAATTTGGTTTGTTTCGCTGCTTCTTCGCTTGGCTCCAAATCTTTATAATGGTAAACTGCTCAAATTAATTTTAACTTAAAAGAATGTGCTAGACACAGATATTAACATCGGTTATGATGTAGATGAAGAGGTGTTTTATCCCACGAATTCGCTTAAAACGTAACACCTACAACTTTGCAATGAATATTAACAAAGCGACTTGCAACAGTGGTTCCGAAGTACGGACTGTGTCAGAGACGGTCGCATTACTCTAAAGTTTGGAGGGGCTCAGAGTTTTATCACATTGCTTTATGACGCAAAAATTATCAATTCTTCTATCCTTCATCATTAGCCCGTAGAAGTCTACTGCAAGACATGGACCTCTCCCACTTTAGGAGTGAATTATTATGATTTTGACGGTTTGCAAATAAAGTGACGATCGCAATACAATACATCTTGCATCTTTGACGTTGCTGGCCAGTGTGGGTGCAATTAGCCAGTCTGGGTACGAATAACCAGTCTGGGTATTTTATGTCTGGCTCTGACGTAACTAATTTGTTTAAAGCGCCATATATCGAAAGCCGTTACATTTTTCTGGCGTTTTCCATGGTCGCCTCTTACTATACCTCCAGGAGGTGTGATGGTGCACGTAGAGGAGTGTCATTTACGCCTCTACTATACAGTAAACGAATTTAAAAGCAGTAAATTCGGTCGATAAATTACTATTATTGTTTGAGTTGAAACAGTGATGTAGTTTATAAAATATAATCAACAGTCCCAAGAAATAAAACTATTATAAACTAATAAATAAACCAAAAAGATAGAAATTCTATGCGAACGAAGTCGCGGGCACAGCTAGTTGTAAATAAAATTATTTTCTTATAATTTAATTTTAATTGACTCATTGGTATAATTATCTTTTCTAAGTATTCTTATTGTGTACAGTAGATAATTATTTTTTTTATTCGTTCGCTGCAACACGTAATGGCGTTCAACTCGTTTATTAAAATTTTTTTGACAATCACTTTTGACTTTTTGACTTACTTATACCATAATTAGGGGAAAAAGGGATTTAAAAAAACGGAGGCTTTAAACTTTACGATTTAGCTGTACGATTAAAACTATTTCCGCAACAAAATATTTTTTTTTATATTTATTCACGATCATATGAGCATTATGAGTCGTGCAATTTTGTATATTTCAATCGTTTTTTGACGTTTGACATAAAATTATCGGAAAATGGGAAGCCTAAGTTTTTTTAACTACTCGATTGGTTTATAAAAATTCGGGTTATATTTCCGTTTTGTTAATACTTTGCATTAGTGAAAATTTTAATTAAATCGGTAAAGTAACTGATAGGTAAACCCAAAATATGACTTGATTGTGATTATAGTGGAAAATATGTGGCAACTATGATAGTCGCTACAAAAACAAACGATAAATAGATTTGCGGGAATCTACTATGACGTATTTACTGGCAATATATTTATAGAGTAAACTAGTGAATTTATTTCAACAATACAAGCATTATGGAAGGCTATGTGATTAAGTCTATATTTTGCAGGGAGCAACTATGTGATATAATATACCGGAAAGGACGGCTGTGTGATCAAGTTTATATCTCTGAGAGCAATTCTGTGATCGAACATAAAATTTTGAGTAATTTACTTGAAATGTCTTAGAAGACTTAAACTCTGCTAAAATATATTCCATACTTTTATGAAAGTAATTATGATATGACCAAAGCATCATCAAGAAAGAACATAAAGAATAATAAATAAATATGTCAAAAAAAAACCTACTGATTTCATAACATGATTTCTAAAGTTTGAAGGAATAAAAATGAGATAGAGACAACGCCAAGGGTAGCGGTGTTTATAGTAAATAACTTTTTATAAATATTCTACTTATTATAAATATTCTTACCAGATACAACAAAAACTATAAATAACTTCCGGTTATATTTCCTAATGATTAATAACTACATATTTCCATAAAAAGGTAAAATGTTAAAGTATTTATATCCTTGCTCAGCTTGCTATAGGGCGCCTTATCATTGCCTATGCTTGTAGCACTTAATTAGCACTCAATTCCTTGCTATTAATATTTATCGTACCTATATCTATTATCATCACTACGTTGTTAGTGACACGTTTGCAAGCAATGCAAAGCAGATGTTTCAAAATGGGCCAGGTTTATTAATATATAAAAAAAAAAAAAAAAAAAGAAAAATCTGTAGAATTCGGCAAAAATATAGATAATTCGTTTAAATGTATCCTGTTGTGGTAAACGGTTGATATTTATCAATAATTTTATCGTCTTTCAACATGGCGTCCCACTGATTTAGTTACTCTGTGCTTATAAACAATGACAGTAAACCATAAAGTGACCAATGATCATAGCAAGAGAATCAGTTATCAGTTGTCAAAACAGTATCAAAAATAAGTGACATAAAGACGTAAAACGTCACTATTCAATAAATGTGACAGCTTACCGCCATGATGGGTTTTTGTGTTGCAATTTCAAGTGTAATTTTTTGTGCTTTACCAGCAAACAAAGTCACTATTAAACGATTGGACAGCTGCGAACCGTTTAAAATGTGTTTCCCTATTTTTGAGTATAGGGTACAAGAACCTGGCCCAGGCTCCATACATTCTAGAACATCTCATTTCAACAGTTAGTTGTGGTGAACATTTTAGAGCACCTTTTAAACTTGGCACCTAAAAAGCCGCTAATTTTGCTAATTCTTATATAAATGCAAATTCTTGACTTTACGTTGCTGGCGAGACACAACTGATTTCGCACGGCTGATTTCTGGATCTCGACAATAGCGCCAAATACCGGGTCCAATTTTCAATTTAAACCAAACACACAAAAAATTCATCAAAATCAGTTGAGCCATTTTTGAGTTTAAGACTTTTATTGATTTTTAGATTTTATTGATATTTATTTAAAGAGATACCCAAAACCCTCTCAGAAATGAAGGGAGGCCTGTGCCCAGCAGTGGGACGTATATAGGCTGTAACTTTACTTTATTTAAAGAGACTGGAAAGAAAAACAAAATACATAAACAGGGCTAAAAAGTTGTATTGAGGTATTTTCACACAATTATTTCATTTTATCTTCCTACATCTATTTGTCTTGAAATTTGTTTTGTAAAAAATTGAAGTAAACAATATTTGAAAAATTACATAAAACTAACTTATAATTTTATGTAATTTTTAGGTTTTAAAAATAAGATTCTTTACTCTATAAGCCGCAAAGTTCGCGCCTTATTTAACCAATCCGAACGCGACACGTAGCTACCGCAGAGTATTCGGTTGCCGGTAAAGCTTGTTCTGCCATGAAGCACTCGGAAGTTGTCAATTGCTATCACCACACCTGTAAAAAGTAATATTTCAGCAAAGATCAAATTGGTTTCTGATATAACACTAGAAATTCTTATAATTTCGGTTTGTCTGTCAATCATAAAGTGTGGCAGCAGCATTTGTCACAGCTGCCACGCTTGGCAGGCGGGTTAGCTACCACAATTTTTTATTATTTAGAGTTATTATTAGGAGGATGCTAATATGATGAATATTTTCTCAGTTCATTAATTTTACATGTAAGATATTTTTATAAGATAAGCATAGATAATGGGTGAGTCGATCGTATGTTTAATAATTCTCTATTTATATAATAATATACAAATCTGGTAAATAATAAAATATCATTATCATAAGGTCACACCAAAACAACAGTATGAAGAAAAAATCTGAAACATAAAATTATATGAGAAGAAAGTAGGTACTAATTTAGAAAAACATAATAGTATTTTGATAGCACGTTTCACACCTTTATAGTATACGCGGTCTGTAGCAATTACAATCCAAAATTCTATAAAATTAAAGTTAAAAACTAAAGTCTAACTATCACAAAATCGCGGTCCTAAGCCCGTAAAAGTATGAAGGATATCGAAATCACAAAAATAATAATCTGAAACGAAAGGTAATTTACCTACTTACCATTTTCTATTAGACATTTTTGTGCTATTTACAAACATGATACTCGCTACGGAATTATTAATGTAAGAGTGGTAATGAGAAGTGCTGCTATTTTAAATCTGTTTCTTTTATCGACCAAATGTTTTACTAATAATCAGTATATGCGGATATTGCATTAGTAGGCAGTAACTAGTATTGAGATTGGGAGGCCTTTTTACACTGAACGTTTTAAGGTCATTGACATTATACGCGAAAACGCCACCACCAACCAACGGCTTTACGCGCTTTCAGAGACACGGAGGCGAGACACCGCCAACTTCCTGACTCCGGGCAGCTACTGACAATTTGTCGGAATTTTTGACGGAAGAACTCAATAAATTTATTTTTTTGTCCTGACCCAGAATTCGAATCCAGGACCTCATGATCGGCTATCACATTACTAGAACAAAAATAAATATCTTAAATTTAGCCTTACTAGTTATATTTTGTTATATTTATCAAATACTTTCGAGGATAGCTCCTATTCCACTTACACAAAACACCATATTCTTTTCCAGATGATAAAAATAGTCACTCAGTATAAATTACTTGTTGATTTACACTGAAATAGAACATTTTTGGTGCATATACTCCTTGAGAGCTTTTTCGTAATCATAAAAATTAGAAAGACTGTCCTCAAGCAGGACGAATATTTGTATATATCCTTCATTTAACAAAATCATTGGTCAGGGATTGAGATTTCTTTGAACCCAATCTTTGGGTGGTTCATTTTGTCCAAGACCACAGTAGCCGTAAGGAAACTAGGCCTATTATAAGGTTTCCCTGCATAGGTGCATAGGTATAGGTATTTCACGACGGGTCTGCTTCAAATATATAAAGTTCAAGTCCGCTTGTGCATGGAGTACTGCTGTCATATACAAACAAAATACATCTAGCAGCTTTAGACTTATTGGATAGGTGTGTTAAAAACTAATTTGTGACCCGGACTTAGTTGTACCAATCTTGCCAGCCTCGAGCTCAGGCGCAGAATAGCCAGCTTCTCGGCTAGATATAGGATAGATTATTACAGAAGAAATACATGTTTAGTTTAGTTTCTCTCATCCACCATTCCATCATTTGACAACTAGACAGTCGGCGTGTCCCATCCCTTTTTTGTCGATATTGCACGCCTGTGAACCGTTTCGTACCGTTTGTAATTTGACCGTCTTCAAAGCAAGAGTGAACAGGCTTTTTAACGCTAAAACTGTTTGATTTACCATTTTTGACTTCATGGCTTACTACCAGGCGCGGTGTGTTGACTAAAATTGTCAAGTGCTGGCTTATTATATGTATAAAAACCGTGGCCGTAAAAGTCAACTAATGCACATGTTAGAAGATCTCGTAGCCTCTAGATTAGAGTTTGTTTTTGAGTTGCAAAACTGTTTACGAAACGTGAGCCTGCGTGCGTGGTTGGGTGTGCGTATGGATGTTCGTAAGCGTGAGCGTGCGTGTGTAAGTGCGTTCATGCGTGCGTGCGTGTATGTGTGGATGTGTGTGATCATTAGAAACTAATAATTAATCACTTTAATTGTATTAATTACCTGGTGTAAGTTTAAATTGCCATTGGTTAGATGGTTCTTCATAATATCGTGCCAAGTTTTTCAGTGCCCGGTAATAAGCTAAGCACTCTTCTCGGCTAGAGAACGCCATGGGTGTACGATCATAGGAATTAAATCTAAAATAATAATTATATGGATTTATATTATGTTAGGTACTAACTTAATCTTTGTGCTATACATCGTTATTTCCAGAAGACAATACATTTTCGGACACTGGTTTTATTTGAAATCTCTAATCACAATAAATGGAATCATAAATTAATTTTCAATTAATTAAATATATATATTTTCTAAATTGTAATAATTTCCGTGTAATAGTGTATTGGACAGGCTGTAATGAACGTACTTGTTTTATGATTTATTTATTGGGTACTAACTTTAATCTGCGTGGAACTTAGCCAAAAATCCTGGAGAACTTTAATAGTGGTCTTGGCCAAAAATTTTAATTACTGAAAAATCATTTTATACTCCTAGTTTTTGTTTGCTGTTGTCTCGAAACCTACGTGCGATATAGAAAAATACTATATAAAAGATCTATTAATTTTGTGTAAAAAAGGACTTATTTTTTTAATCTTTTAACACAGTGAATTTGGTTAACGTCTAGTCTGTGTTTCTTAAATGAATATCCGGGCAGCGTTTAGAAACAGATATTCCTCTGTTTCCTCACGCAGGTTTTAGAGTTCGTTGGGAATACGATATGATCAATTCGTTAATTTTTACGTGTTCTTTTTCATAGTTTGCCCAAGCTGCATTTGTTGCTCTCTGTTGTCCAGGCCGGCCCGGTGGGGCACAGCGCGACAGCATAACCAATTCTTCAAAGTTCTTGGAGCCTGGATATTCTTTAGGTATTCACTTCTCTTTATTCTAGTTTTCCAACATAGAAGTAAATTTGTATATTATTCGATTAGGATATTTATATTTTAGACGTTAGCTATCACGAAGTAGAAATAAAGTTATAATTTTATTTATATAAATACCGTATTTGTTTTATATCCTTCATCTTATTGATTGTTATAACTGGCGCTGAATATCTGTGGTGATGCTCGTTGTCGAGGAATTCGGCATCAATATCAAAACTAGTTAGGAATTTGTAGTCGTCAGGAAACTCTTTTTCTAAACGTTTGGCTCCATAAAATCCATCAACTAAAATTGTTTCCCCACCTGTGCCATCTGTGTGCTCGAGACCATGAAATATTTGAAGTCTGAAAATAGAATATACTTAGACCAAATAAATAAGACATAAGGAGCAAATATATAATATATGAGTTTTTACTTGTTTGGGTTTTGATTGATTTGACGTATGATTCGATGGCGGCTCTTGTAAACTATGGGCTGATTAGTATTAATTTGCTACCAAATATTTCTTTAGCGGGCGTAAGTTGTTTAATTATTTTGTCCTAAAAGGATATCACTTACTTTTTTACCCACGGCGAAACGAAGAAGGTGTATACATTTAGAGTGGGAGGTTGATTTTAAACTCTTTTACGTATGGAGACAATAAGAAATTTCCGATCGGCATTTCCACATTTTGTGTGTTAGGTAGCAGCTTAACGATGCTGTATTTCGTATGGCGAGTGTAGAGAACCGGAGACCCTTTTTACCGGAAACGAGGCATTCCATCTTTTTGACGACCCTTTATCATGTCCTATTAAAAATCCTTAAATTCGCAAAAATAAAATTGTGGGTCACTCATGGGCAAAAAACTGTCCTATCACTCAAGTTGGGCCAAACTGAACACGCTGTGCAAATTTCATTAAAATCGGTTAAGTAGTTTAGGAGTCCATCGTAGACAAGGCAACCACTTACCATCAGGTGGACTGTGTGCTCACTTTTCACCCTTATCCTATAAAAAATGGTTTGGCTCTACCGGGGTAGGACCACGCTTTCACAAAGCTGGTGCCTTGTGAAAGCGTGGTCCTACCGTTACCGTTACTTTGGGTGAAATCGAGGGACTGGTAACGAGGCATTCTATCTTAGTCCTAGGATGATGACGCATCTGAATTTTGATAATTAATCGAGGATAGATGTAGATGTCTCTGAGCCGCATCATCATCATCATCGTTTTGTCACACTTTTTATAGCATTGGGTGATAAACGAGCACACAGTCCACCTAATGGTAAGTGAATGCTGTGGCCCATAGACATCCACATTTATCTTCAACTAAGGATCAAAATGCAAAGTAATGTGCTGTCACCCCTGAGGAATAAGATGGAATGCCTCGATTGCAGTCAATAGTCTCACAGGTTTTCTACACTCAGCATACAAAACACAGCAGCGTTAAGCTGCTATTTTACTCTGGTATTCTGTAAGATTCTGATTCCGTGCCGGACAGGACGGCCGAGCCGACCTATTCCTGTTACAACTATAATATACCTGTAGTGTGGCTTTACCACGTAATAAAAACATTTTGTCATATTTTTATTTAAATGTTTTTCATTATTTGTATGAATTAAATAAAACAGTAATAAAATGTACTTAAGTTTTTAACATTAAATATTATTTTATTACCCTGCTGCTTCAGTAAAGTAAGTGTTATCAGTATGTTGAGCTAGATGAATATTCGTATAGGCTGTGTCCGTAGGTTTTGTGTCTGTGTGCACTAGCCACATTCCTCCAAACATCGTGTGTTGAACACCACCTAGAGCTTTACACACTTTTTCTGTCGCTTCCATTGTTGGCTCTACCTGTAATAGACAGAATGAAATAAGTATTTTTTCGAAGATTATTCAAAAATATGTAGATTTACAGGCATACACTTTTTATACGTGGTATAGTCACGCTGCAGCTATATTATGATTGTAGCATGAATGAATTGGCTATACCGTGGCAGTATTATAATTTAGTATTGCTGCCACGGTGCCGAAAGGTGCATAAAAGAAGTATTAAGCTGCTGCGTTTCGTATGGTGAGTGTAGAGAACCGGAGACCCTTTTTACTGGAAACGAGGCATTCCATTTTTGTTTTCAACGGTGACAACACTTGCGCATTCTCATTCTTAATTGAAGATAAATGTCTATAGGTCACAGCATTCATTTACCTACATGTGGACCGTCTGCTTGCTTGATACCCATTTCTTTAAAACCTAGGAACGCTTATTTTGGCTATTTAATTGGTTCAGCTTCTTTTTGGGTCTTTGGTTTTTTGAAAAAAGAATATTAACAATACTATAAACATTACTAATATTCCCCTTAACCACTCGTGGTAAGCTTAAATTGCTTGTGTTACGAGTGGTTCACGCCAGTAGTCGAATCACGGATTCGGACCCACGACCTTTTCGAGTTCGCGGTCCGCGCCCTGCCATTAGGCTACTGTCGCTATAAAAATGCGATTGTCTAATACTATAGGATGCGTGGCAATTATTACATATATTTGTAGCTGGAAAAGAATAAATTATTGGAAAATTGCATGCAATATAACATATATGTGTATATACTGGATGACCTTTTTCACCGTCTGGAAAAAAAAGGGTGTAACATGTGAACGGAATAGAAGCCTATGGCACTGATATTTTCCAAAAAATAAAAACAGAAATTTTGAAATGAATAAATAATTAGTCTCGAAATTCAAATCATATACACCCTAGTTTGTGACCCTGCGAAGTAACAAGGTCAAAGATGCCTACTAAATTTATTTTTTTATTGCCGTTCGTAAAGTAGGGTGGATATGATTTGAATTTCGGTCATCCAGTAATATGTCTTTGGCATCCTTTTATGCGAAAAAGTGTCGTCTGGTTAACGGTAAAGACATATTCTGAAGCTCTCTCTTGAATTGTAAAGGACAAATCAGTAGTTAGCTGTCCACCCAATGGTAAAAATAAAAAATGTAAATGTTGAGCATGTTAACGAGGCGAGAAACTTAAGAATAGTAATGGATGAGCAGATAAGGTTTGAAAAACAGATAATTATTACAGGTAAGAACTACTTTTAATTGTTATAAAGTTCTGTACCAATTTAGATAACTTTTATGCACTGAGGTGCGTAAGAAATATGCGAATCGTTAGTACTATCTAAATTTAACTACGCTGACGCGGTATTAGGGTCTAGACTTCTGGCGCGATCAAGGAAACTTATCCAGCGTGTTCAAAATGCCTGTGCCCGCTTTTGTTATAAAATTCCTCCACGTGCCCATGTAACACCTTATATTAACAACGCAAGAATGCTTAAAATGGATTACCGTTGGCAACTACCGCCACTTTGTTGTTGGCACTATTAAAACGACAACACCCTCCTTTATAATAAGTTACAATGGGCACGAGACAATACTACAATTTCGACAAGAGCTTAAGTTGCTCATACCTATACATCATTCAGCCGCATTCCGAGGGAGCTTCAGATATGCCGCAACTAAGTGCTGGAATAACCTTCCATCGCCTCTTCGAAACCTACATTCAGTGTATAGTTTTCGTATAAAATACAAAGTTATACTATTAAACGAACAGCTACGATCGTAGATTATCAATATAAAATTTAATGTTTTTTTTGCTTTAGCGTGTACACCTATGTATGTTCCAGTGCGTATAATTACGCACTGGAACATACATAGGTATCATTTTTTTTCCTTCATACGTCACAGGTGTACAATTTAATTACACTATTTTCTTTCCATTGCGCGCGTAGGTAGATAGATCCCAGGTTCTGTGATAAAACATGCTAAATGGATGCGGCAGCATGTTATGTTGAACATACCTCTCGGGTTGCTATTGTGTATAAGTGTTTTTATATGAAATTTAAATTATTTTTATATCCTCGGTTCCAGTTATGCAATGAAATTAACATTCATAAACATCCGGTATAGCACTACAAATATAAGGCAGTTTTTTTTGTTTTTAGTTATCTGTTCACTTTTTCTAATGTATTTTGTATATATCTGCTTTGTCAAAATGATTTATTTTTCATTGTAAGTGTATAATTAAGTCTACCTATAAGAATACTTAAACATAATGTTTTTTGAGTATTTAGTGCTAATTTGTTAAGAAATGGCCATATAAATATCTCTTTCTATTTCTAACGACGACGGCCCCGGTCAATGTTTGAATTATAGCGAAGGTTCTGAAAGCGGGTGGGAAACCAGTACTAGAAGTCCTTCAGAAGTTCTTCAATTCCGTCTTCCATGATGGTACTACTCCGGAGGCGTAAAACAAAAGTGCGGTGGTTTATTTTACACGAAAGGTGACAACGCTCTCTTGAAGAACTACGGACCGATTACCCTTTCGAGCCACGTCTACGTGCTGTGTTACGAATTGTCTCGCACGTAGACTCGACGACTTCCAGTCTTTTTTTTATAGAATAAGGGTGACAAACGAGTCGAGTCCACCTAATGGTAAGTGAATGGTGGCCCCCATAGATATCTACCTCTATCCTCGATTAATATTACTCGACGAATCGAATTACTCGACTAATACGACGACTCCGTGGCCCAGTGGCTTAGCAATGAGTGGCTGCGCCGGGGGCCGCGGGTTCGAATCCCGCACGGAACAAGTATTTTTATGGCCTATAAATAATTGTTCCGGGTCTGGATATTTGTCCTTGTGCAATTTATGTTTGTAAACTGCCCCCGCGATACAGGAGAAAATCCTAGAGTAGAGGTAACGTTCAAAAAAAATTCAAAACGCAGATGCGTTGTCACCCCTACGGACCAAGATGGATTGCCTCGTTTCCAGTAAAAAAAGGTCTCCGGATCCCTTCACTCACCATACGAAACACAGCAGTATTAAGCTGTTATTTTACGCTAATATTCAGCGTCCTGAACAATCCGGTTTTCGAGAAGACTTTAGCACCATAGAAGACACACAACCTTCGGCAAATTGTACAGAAGGCCGAAGAGTAATAAGCCATTAAAATTAGGGCGGTGCTGAAGTCCCTGCAGTGGTGCCAAATTGACTATTAGTATATCGAAGTGTTGAAGTAAGTACAGAAGGGATAAGATGACTATCCGAGCACAGAACCAGAGTACAAAACCTATACAACTGCAGACAGGGTGACCTTATGTCCTCGAAACTCTTCACCCCTGCATTTGAAGATGTTTTCAAGCTATCGGACTGGAAATAATAAGGTATTAACAATCACTCCCCTTCGATTTGCCGAAAATATAATTCTTATAGCAGAATCACTGGAGGACCTAAGCACCATGCTTAAGGACCTCAATGGATAAGTCCATGTGTATCATCCATGTCCCATCTATATCGGTAGTTGTTGAGAACACTACGCTCGAAGTTGTTGACGAGTATGTTTACCTGGGACAAATGATCCGACTAGGTAAGTCCAACTTCGACCGAGAGATCAATCGACGTATTTAACTCGACTGGGCAGCTTTCGGGAGACTACATACCTCATAATCTCATACTTCATAACTTGAAAACAAGATTGTACAACCTGTGCCTGTTGCCAATGATGAGTTATGGATGTGAGACGTGGTCGTTTGAGGAAGCTCAATGTTACTCAGTAAGCTATGGTCGGGGTTTATCTGCGTGGTAGACTTTAAAAATGGGGAAATCCGTAGAAGAACCTAACATATAGCTCGAAGAACCGAGAAATGATGGGGAAGGAAGGTTCTCGAGTGGCAACCTCGTACCGGTAAGCGAAATGTAGGGTGGCCCCTCACTAGATGGAGGGATGACATGGTAAGACATGCAGGAAGTCGATGGTTGCAGGTGGCAGCAGTAGACTTGTGAAGTGATGATAACGATGTTAATGATTTTAATATTACTGACAGACATTTCAAATTTATTAAAATGTTTGTATATCTGATATCTGAATTCTTTGCTTCGCTAGCAGGACTAGTGGTCGTAAGCGTGACAGCTGATCATGCGGTCTCGGGTTCCAAATCCGTCATTGAGTTAGTTCTCTTTTCGACCCTTAACTCTTGGCTAGTTTGCGTTGCGACTGGTTGTCGTGGCTAAAAGTTAGTCTGGAGGACATTTCATTATCTAATATTGGGTGATGGTAACCACCTACCTTCAGGTAAGCCGTATACTCATTTGCCCCCTCTTCTGTACAATAATAAAATGAATCTGAACTTCTTACGTAAGTGACAATAATTTTTAATAACGACAAAGTTTCTTCGAAACTTTAATAATCGCTCCCGATAAAATTCCGCAAGAATTTCCAGAGCTTCTGTTATTCAATTATGCCTATAAATGTAAATTGCCAACCGCATTTATGTCCGTTATAATTATTTTGCTCCGCTCCGTTCGAAATGAACTTAAAATTTTATTGGTTGGGGAATGTAATGTAAATTAGTCTCTCCTAATTTACATTAAATTCGAGCTTATAAAGTTTAATGCATTATCATGAGACAAAAATTGATATTATAATTAGTAATATAATTGTGTATTGTTTTTCAATTTATTGTCATTCATTACAGAAATTGAGGTAGCTCCAGTAAGTTATATTATTAAAATACTTGTATTGAAACTAAATCGCTGCTTCCCTTAAAGCTATGCGTGCTTGCGTGCGTGCGTTCGTGCATGCTTGCGTGCGTGCGTGCGGGATGGCGTGCGTGCATGCGTGCGTGCGTGCGTACGTGCGCGCGTGCGCGAGTGCGCGAGTACGCGAGTGCGGGAGTGCGTGAGTGTGTGAGAGTGTGTGAGAGTGTGTGAGAGTGTGTGAGAGTGTGTGAGTATGTGTGTGTGTGTGTGTGTGTGTGTGTGTGTGTGTGTGTGTGTGTGTGTGTGTGCGGTGCGTGTC